ATCTAATCACTTACATTTTCATTGAAGTACTCATTAATTTTTTCTGGGTGACTTTTTGCTAATTGTTTTTTATAATTTTCAATAGTTTTATAGGAAGTTGTTACCCCAATTTTAGACAAAGTATCTATGGCAGTACAACTTGTTCCAGCACCAACAAGATATAGGCCAATTCAAGTTTTATGGAATTAGTGAATTTGTTACATAAACCTGCTAGCAAGTAACAAAATGTAATGATTGATTTTTTTGCATCTTTGTTTTTTCTCCTTTCTTTCTGTTGGAATAATTGCATTGACCATTTCATCAAAAAACCCATCTAATCTGCTATCTTGATTTTTTATCATATTAGAGAATTTCTCAGGGTCCAATTCAACACTACCTTTGAATTTTTTTTGTTGATCATAAAGGACTTTGCTTAAAACTTTGATTTTTGATCCAAAAGTAACTATATAATATAATAATTTAATTGATTAGTCACTTGATTAATTTTTAATTTAAGAAAATAAAAAAAAATTACCATCATTAACATCTTTATCTGTTATATGAACACTAGAATCTTCATGTACATGTTATATTGTCTAGTTGTAATTTTATTTGGTTTATATAGATACCTTGCGGTTATTCGAACTAGACAACATAATTATTCTTTACAAAACAAACCTTTTATAACCAAATTTGTTAACATATTAAGCGCTTTCGTAATTGTATCATATCTATTAGATTGTATGCTTGTTATCATTAGAGCATTAGAATCTAAAGTTTGGACTAGTACTTTTATAGTTTTATATGATGTTATCTCCTGGCTCGCTTGGGTGATAAATTTATCTCTGATAATTTTAGAAAGACAAAAATTTGGTAAATTGTCTTGGGTCAATCTTACTTTTTATTTGTTTTCCAATATTACAGAAACTTTGATTTTTGTGTATTGGTACCTTCAATTCAAACATTCGAAACCAGGTATATATCTCTATATTCATAAATTTTATTAAAGTGGTTTTTTTTTAATTTTTTAGTTTTTAATCAAATCCAATTAAATGTTATTTAATCTTTCAAATTTTCAGAAAACGGTTATTCTATATACGATAAAGCATTTTTTATTTTATTTATTGCTCGTTATCTTGCAATTTTCATTACTAGCATTTTATCATTAATAGAGGTTTTTAGTAAACCTGTTGACTTGGATGTTGAGAATGGTAGTAATAGGTCATTGCTCGAGAATTCAAATTCTTATGGTACATTTCCATCAAACGAGAATGAACCTCAAGCAACAAATCAAAGTAGTTCAGGACAAGGGGCATTTTCAGATTTCTTCAGTAAAATGAAAAAATTATTACCATTTTTATGGCCATCAAAACAACCATTTCTTCAATTTTTAATTTACATCTGTTTTACATTGTTGGTTGTTGGACGTTTAATAAATGTCTTGGTTCCGGAACAACTTGAGTTAATTACTGATATACTTTCTGGTGACAATGGACAAAAACGTAAGAAAATAAAATATCAATATTTATTCAATATCCAATGATTGTTAATCTTATTTTCTTCATATTTAATTGATCTAGCAAGATTTCCATGGGAGGCCATTATTATATTTGTTTTTCTTAGATTTTTACAAGGTGGTGTTGGCTTAGTTCAATCTACACAGAATTATTTGTGGATTCCAATTGGCCAAGTAATTATAACAATACTACAAATGATTGTTTAGTATTAAATTTTATATCTATTAATTAATTTCTTTCAATTAGTACACAACTCGTGAAATATCTGTTAAAATGTTTGAACATTTACATGGGTAAATTAAATTTGCTAATGATAAATATTATTAAAGTCACCAAGTATATTTTTCTCAAATCAAAACTTTCCTTTTTTATAATTATATATAGGCTTTCATTATCTTATCATATAAATCGTAAAACAGGAGAGGTTTTGAGAGTTATGGATCGTGGAACAAATAGTATAATCACTTTACTCAACCAAATCTTATTTCAAATCTTTCCTGTGATTGTCGATATCATTGTTGCTGTTGTATATTTTGTTATTAGATTTGGATGGGTATTTGGTGCTATAGTATTCATCACCATGACTGCTTATATTTTTTTGACTATTTGGATTACTGAATGGAGAACGAAATTCAGGCGTGAAATGATCGAATTGGACAATGACACTAGAGCCAAAGCAGGTGATTAATTTATTAGTCAATTTTGTCGATTTACTAATGATAAACAATATCTAATTATTATTAAGGAACTAATTTTCCTTTATTTATAAAATTTTTAGTTGATTCTCTTTTAAATTTTGAAACTGTTAAATATTATAATGCAGAACAATTTGAAATTAGACGTTATGATGAATCCATAAAAAAATTTCAAGTAGCTGATTATAAAGTAGCCAGTTCTTTAAATATTTTAAATCTTGGTCAAAATTTTGTTATTACACTTGGTTTATTAGCTGGCTGTTTGATTTGTGCTAAAAATGTAGCAAGTGGTGACTATACAGTTGGAAAATTTATACTTTTCGTAACATATATTAATCAACTGTACACCCCAGTAAGTTTCCTCTATAATAACAATAATAACATTATTATTATTATTATTATTATTATTATAAGTATTATTATTATTATTATTTATCAGT